TGTGTCAGTTAAAGAAATTTACAAATGATTGGCTACAGAATAAAGCACAAAAAATAATTAGCACTTAGCTAGATGTTCAATCTTATAAAAAAAAAAACTTATTTTCATTTATGTCATCAAATAGCAGAATAGAAAATCTCAAACAAAATTTTGGTCCAATTGAACAGCTTGGTGAGTAACAGAGCATACCTTCTAGGAACTCCATTAGTATCTCCAAAATCAGAAGAACCATTGGAAAAAGGGGGAGTAGGAGTGACAATGTTGGTTCCAACAATTTCAATTTTCATTGGCTTCCCATCAAGCTGAACATTGTTGAACCTTTTAACACCAGCTAGCGCATCTTGTCTACGTGAGAAAACCACCTCTGCCGTTCCCTGAAGAAGCAGTTCCAGTGTTCCACTAATTTCAGCCAAACAACATTGTTTTCCTTTAAAGTGCATAGTCTAGGTCAACAAAATACCTTTGATCTCCCACTCCTATCATAATGAACAGCATAACGTTTCAAGTCACCAATTTCTGAAAAGAGCTCCTGCAATTCAATAATAAACATAATATTGGTGACCAATCAATAAACCTCCAGAAAGAGATTGCACACACTACTTACAAAATAACAGTACATCTTTTTTCATACACCAATGCAAGTACATACTGCAAACTCCTATGGAAACAAGCTTCCTTATAAGCAGAAGAGCTGGTGAGTCTGCTTTCGATTCAGTGTCTTTCTTAACCTAGTTAATCTTGACCGGCAACTCTATCCTTCTCAGCTACATCTCCATTAGTTTCTTGCATAACTCTTTTTTTTTTTTCTTGTTACATCTTAATTACCTCCTCAGTGGATTAACTATGATATCATGTTCATCTCCCTTTTTCTCATCTTACTTATTATTCTAGCAAGGAAAAATTGCATCACAAATAATTAAAGGTCAAAACTTTGACAACAAATCCGGAGATATTTAACAGTGTAATCAAAAGAGACTAGGGAAGCAAAAGCAAAGAAAAACAATGAACTTTCAAAATTAACGACGAGTGTGCTTCAATCCTAAACTAATTGGTCTGTTTTATTCCATTACCAAAGAAGAAAAAAAATCTCATATTCATCCATAAACTCTCAGAACAAAGAACTAACAACAGTAACAGTTACCAGAGAGAGAGAAACTACCTTGATATCCTCATTGGAGACGCCGTAATCAAGATTGGAGATGTAGAGTTTAGTCCCAGTCTCTATGGAAGACGCCCGACCACCAGCTTGTCCAAAGGCGACGTCTTGATCTGCCGCGAACATATCATGATTCCACGACGCTTCAGGGGCCTGAACCGCCAGCAACTTGGATCAGATACAATAATTTCATCCACGTTCAAAATCCGGAAAAAATTTCCAATATTTTTCAATTAAAAAAATTCAACCTTGGTGGTGGAATAAGGTGCAGCTCGGTTATTAGAACGATTAGGGAACCGTCGAGAAGGTCCAGCACTGGAGGTGGAGGCAGCGCCGCGGCCTCTGCCGCGAGGTTTACCTCCGGTACCGGTCTTATTCTTCTTGATGAGATCGTCGAGAGTCATATCCAAAGCTGCCTCAGCCATTTGTAATTGCCTCTTTGTTTGTGAAAGAGAAGGTAGAAATTGGGAAAGCTGGGTAGGGTTTGAACTTTGAGAGAACAAGAAAACAAGCTCGCTCTTATTAATGCCGTTTCGGTTCGGGTTGAGTACTATTTTTCTCCCTAATTACTTATCAACTTTTGAATGACAAATCAATTAAGAAAATTATTATGAACATAATTAATTTATTATTTTATTTTTATTAATTATAAGTAGCTGAATTAAAAATTTAAGATTTTCAAAAATTTCTACCTTTATCAAAATATTTAATTAAGGGTATAATAGGTAAAAATAATTTATCCTTTCTTGATCTGTCAAAATTGACAAGTAATTAGGAATAACTAAAAAAAAAAGTAATTAAGAACAACCAAAAAAAGAAAAAAATGGAAAAGTAATTAGGGAGAAGGAGTAGTGGATTGGTTTTACAAGAAGGATGATTGGATGGAAACAAGTTATTTCACCATGTATATGATGACTTATTTTATCAATAAAATGTAAATGATGAGATAAATAATTTTAAGATGGTCCAATACTACCTTCAACCAAAGTAGTCCAACATTATTATTACCATATCTAATACCTCAAGTCAAACGACTCTTAAGGAGACAAGGGTGTCTTGGTGTAGTTGGTTATCATGTCAGTCTAACAGACTGAAGGGGGGAAATAGAGTTTGCTAGCATGTGAGTTGTTTTCTCCCGAAATTGTTTTTCCTCTTTTACTTTGGGTAAATTGCACCAAATGACTTAAATAATATTGAGGTGTTTGGCAGAGTTAGCTTGTGATGATAGTTATCATTTTTTATTTAAATGGTGTTGTTTAAAGCTTCTTATGGTAGGAGATATAGGTTTTCAATTCGGTGATTTAACACGTTTGAGGTAGACTGTGAAGTACTGATTTGTTGAGAGATTCCTTAGACAAAATGAATAGGTGATTTAGAGTAGAATTTGCATAACCTAAATCAGACAAAAGATCTACGCAAATTATAAGGTCTATGATTTGAAATTTATGATAGTCGAAAAGGTGTTGATGAAGATATGGCCTATGAAAATGGTCATGAGGTTTGAAAAGAATGACAAACTTAACCTTAAGTTTATTGGTTTGTTTGAGGTGCTACAGTGCACTGGTGAGATAGTTATGAGTTGTCCTTGCCTCCAGGACTATTAGATATGCACTCGATATTTCATGCGTCTATATTGACGAAGTGTCGTTCTAATCCCAAATAATTTGATGAGACACGACATAGTTGGATCAGAATATGACTTTTGAGCATATAGTTATTTTAGATAGACAAATTCAAAAATTGAGGTCCAATAAGATAACATCAATGAATGTGTAGTAGAGGCATTGTTCGATGGAGAAAGTCACCTGAGAGACCAAGGTAGACATAAAGAGTAGATATCCTCATTTTTTTGGTAGTTTATATACTTTTCATTTTTTATGTTTGAAGATGAATGTATGTTTTATGGTGGATGATTTAACGACTCGCGTGATTGTTTTGAGTTTTTTGTGTTTTTTCTCTCTATTTTACCCTTTCATGTAGCTATCTATTATTTTTTATTTGTGGAGATGAATAACATGATTCTTGAGATGATCAAATGGTTTTTGGGTGAGTTTTTTAGTTTTAAAAGTTATAAATTAAAATCAACATTCTAGGTTAACAAGCTCGAATTCAAATATTGACAATTTTGCTAGTTTCATAAGGTATTTTTGACATTGTTGAATGATTGGTGTGACTCCCAAGGTGTTGGGAGTTATTTGAGTCTTTTGACTGAGTTTTGAATTGTTAAGAAAGTTAAGTTTAGCCATGATTAATTTTTGGTCAACACGACCACATATCAGTGATATGATGATTTCAACAAGTTTGAAAGGTTAATTTCTAATCAATGTGAATATTTGATTCATTTTTGTGGGTTTCAAATGAATTTGAAGGGTCCGTTCGAAAAGTTTCTGAAGTTGGATTGTTGTTGATTTTTGCTGCTATTTGGCGCCTTTTCCACTTTGCAATCCAAGATGATACACTTACGACGATTGGTTCAAATTTTAAGCGTAGATTTTGCGAGATGTTATAAGCCCAAATTGAAAAACTTTCAACCTAGAGTCATCCTTAATGATATTGGCAAGGTATAAATAATATAGAGTCCAAAGATTGTTATTAATGTAATGACTATCAAGCTTTCAAGAGACTTCATTTCAATAAAAGGATACAAAATTGATTATGGTCGTGTGATTTTAGAAGAAAAATCAATAATTGGGAAGACGAGAGATAAAATATGATTTTTATACAAGTAATAAAAATCAGTTGAGATTTTAATAGCAAATCCCATTAAACATTAGTTAGTAGTTACGATCCATAATTATGTAAAATTATAGTTGTATTAAATGATACATTAGTAATGTTTGCCAAGTCACGTAATTTTTCCTTTTAATTGAGTCAAGGTAGATAAGAACAATATTTTATTTTATTCGGCCTTCTAACTAGCTAGGAGAAGAACAATTTTGTCCCCATGTTTGCTATTTTCTTATTTAAATTATTTGAGGGTAAACAATTGCCATTTTAATAAATTGATCACTCACAAAACGTCAATCTTCAATTTAAAAAAAATTGACCATCTACTTTTAAAATCGCAAATACGATATACAATAGTAAAATCAAATAAGCCATGTACATTTACACATAAGAATTGCAAATTGTAGTTTTAATATATATGCAATATTATAAATTGTTCAAAATACAGATAAACACACACACATATTTGTCTTTACAAATAATAAATGTTAAATATCTCACATTCAAATATTGTATTTTATTTATTTACCAATAAATAACTCTCTCTAAATAATAACATTTGTAGGCTAATTTATTTAAATAAAATTTATTAGTACATATATAAAACATAAAACTAAGAAAATAAATAAAATGATACTTTTACACAAATTATTATTTTTTGTTGCTATTTTTTTATTTAGCAAAATATTCTAATATATATAATGTGCATTTTTAAAAAAATTAAAGTAGTAATTTAGTCTATCTTAAGTAATCATATGTATTTCTTATTCTTAAGGTATAATATGCAATCATAAATCATTTCGAAAAGAAGTGTTTTATAGTATAAGTATTTTAAATTACTAAATTATAGTTATTTACGACATATTATTATATATTTATTCTATCTATTTTATTTTATTTTTTTAAATTTTTTTTTAGTCCAAGAAGCATAAATTAATTAAATTAAGTTGTTTTACCCGAAAAGAATTGTTTCTCTAGAACAACACCACTAAAATATTTGCAAATTCACCCATAACTGCCTCCTCATCAAATTAAAAGTAGCATTTCTGCCCCTCAAATGTACAGATTTCTCAAAGGGCACTCACAAACTAAGCAACGCCTCCATCAGCTCAGCGATTCAAGCCTGCTCGAAATGAACGCTTCCCTTAGCCGGAGCAGGCAATTCTCCGGTCACATTCGCCACCGGCGAACTATTTCCACAACGCGCAAATTCAACAACCAAGGAAACGACAAAAACTTCATAGCAACTCTAAATGAAATCGTTCGGAGCAAACGGAGCTGGAATATAGCACTGAACAGCACCATTTCCACCAGACTGAAAACCCATCACGTAGAGCAAATTCTACTTCAAACCCTTGATGATTCTAGGTTGGCTTTACGGTTCTTCAATTTTCTTGGCCTTCACAAGAACTTTTATCATTCAACGATGTCGTTTTGCATTCTAATACATTCCCTTGTTCAATCCAATCTTTATTGGCCTGCTACTTCACTTTTGCAGACCCTATTGCAAAGAAAAGTGAACCCAAGTTTTGTTTTTGACAATTTGTTAGATGTGTATAAAAGATTCAATTTTGGTCACACTTTGGGTTTTGATTTGCTAATCCAAAATTATGTTCAGAATAGGAGAGTAATGGATTCTGTGTTGATTGTTAGGCTTATGATGAAGCATTCATTAGTACCAGAATTAAGGACTTTAAGCACTGTGCTAAATGGGTTGATTCGAATAAGACAGTTTGATTTGGTTTTGCAATTGTTTGATAATGCAGTAAATTCGGGTGTTAAGCCTGATGAGTATATTTATACAGCTGTGCTTAAAAGTTTGTGTGAGTTGAAAGATTTTGAAAAGGCTAAGGAAATGATGAATTGGGTTGAGAGAAGTGGGAGTAAAGTGAGTGTTATTTTATACAACATATTGATTCATGGGTTCTGTAAGGGTGGAAGAGTTTGGGAAGCTGTTGAAATTAAAAGTTTGTTGGTTAGCAAAGGATTGAATGCTGATACTGTCACTTATTGTTCTTTGATTTTGGGGCTGTGTAAAGTGAATGAATTTCAGCTTGCTCGAAGGTTAGTGGATGAGATGTTGGGGCTGCTTTTGGTTCCTCGTGAGGCTGTAGTGTCGAGTGTTGTTGACGGGTTGAGGAGAGAGGGTGATTGTGTAGCTGCTTATAGATTAGTTGATATGACAGGGAAAGTTGGAGTTGTGCCCAATTTATTTGTTTATAATGCATTGCTTAATTCTTTGTGCAAAGATGGGAAGTTGGATGAAGCAGAGTCTCTTTTTAATAGAATGGAGGATAAAGGGTTGTGCCCAAATAGTGTAACTTATTCCATCATGATTGACTCTTTCTGCAAACAAGGGAGATTAGATGCTGCAGTTCTTCTTTATAATAGAATGCTTGATAATGAGGTAGAATTAACCATATACCCTTACAATTCTCTCATCAATGGCTATTGCAAGGCTGGAAAATGCAGTGCGGCGGAATCTATGTTTAATGAGATGATTGATAAAGGATTGACCCCAACTGTTGTAACCTATACTTCATTGATAGATGGTTACTGCAAGGAAAGAGAAGTGCGGAAGGCCTTTAGGCTTTACCATGAGATGACTGGCAAAGGAATCTCACCTAATACTTTCACTTTCACTGCACTAATCTCTGGTTTTTGCCGTGCACACATGATGGTAGAAGCAAGTAAGTTATTTGATGAGATGGTGAAAATGAATGTAACTCCTAATGAGGTCACTTATAATGTCTTGATTGAAGGATATTGTAAAGATGGAAACACCATAAAGGCTTTTGAATTGCTAGATGAAATGTTGAAGAAGGGTCTCGTTCCTGACACATATACGTACAGATCTCTGATAACTGGACTTTGTGCAAAAGGTCAAGTATCTGAAGCAAAAGAGTTTGTTGATGACCTTCAAAACCAGCGTCATTATCTGAATGAAATGTGTTTCTCTGCTCTCTTACATGGTTATTGTAAGGAAGGAAGATTAAAGGATGCACTAACCACTTCTGATGAGATGGCAGAAAAGGGAATAAGCATGGACCTTATGTGCTACGGTGTACTTATATATGGAACTCTAAAGCATCATGATTGGAAATATTTATTAAATATAATGAAGGAGATGCACGACCGAGGAATGAAGCCTGATGAAGTAATATACACCAGCATGCTCAATGCATATGGAAAAGTTGGTGATCTTAAAAAAGCTTTTAAATGCTGGGATATAATGGTCAGTGAAGGATGCTTCCCAAATATGGTGACGTATACTGTGATGATAAATAACTTGTGCAAGGCTGGATTAGTAGATAAAGCAGAGATATTCTACAAGGAAATGTTAGCTAAAGGGTTGACACCTAACCAGTTCACATATAGTTGTTTCCTTGATTATCTCACTGATGAAGGGTACATGGTAGAAGCTAAACAGCTTCATGATGCAATGCTTAAAGGGTACCTTGCAAATACTGTGACATACAATATTATTATACGGGGATTGTGCAGATTAGACCAAATTCAGGAAGCGATGGATATTTTGCTTGAAATGAAGGACAATGGTATCTCCCCAGATTGCGTAAGTTACTCAACTATCATTTATGAATTCTGTAGGAGGGGTGATCTGTTAGGAGCAAGAGGCTTGTGGGAATCCATGTTGACTAATGGTCTGAAGCCTGATGCAGTGGCTTATAACCTTTTCATTTATGGTTGCTGCATCGCTGGAGAATTGTCCAAGGCATTTGAATTGCGTGATGAGATGATAAGAAGTGGTCTGAAGGTGACTCATGCAACATATGCTTCTTTAATCCATGGAACCTGAAAAATGGGGCAGTCCACCAGATCTGCTAGCGCTGCTGCAAGGATCATTTACTATGATCAAGTAATGACTATCAAAATTCAGGATATTTGTACAGGACGTGATCATGTCAACCTTTACTCTAAAATGCCTCATCCATGAATAGTTTAACGTCCTGCCTTCTTATATGAGGACATGAACTATGAGTTGGGCATCTTTAGAACTTCAAGGGAGGTAGTTTGACATTTTTTTTTCTTTTTTCTTTTTTCTTTTTCCTGTATATTTAAATCCAATTGTGTAACATAGGAAGTATTGGGAGGAAATATAACAATCTTCAAGTTCTGGATAATGAACACCCAACTTTTGTGCTGCTTGTATTGTCTATGAGTTCGTAAAGACCCTGATGTTGTTCTTCCTACTTCCTGTTGCTTGTTCTATTATAACTTAAAAACTTGTTTTCTACTCAAATTAGATTTTTCATTTATCTCCAGCTGATCTTCATGGCTCGGCTGTTTTACCTTCTCTTATAGAGCATAGTGCAGTATTTGGAGTATATCAGAGGGTCTCCATATTACTTGGAGAGATGTTACAAAATAGTTTCCAATATTTACTTTTACATTTTAGTTGAGTGTCTTTTTGTGAGTGGTTTCAGGTGAGGCCATGCATGTCTGTCTCTGTGTGTTTGTATTTTCTGTAACTACCATGAGTTATCATGACTGTTTTCACTATTAATAGCTGATAATACACCTTTTTTTAAATATTTTCAGAACTTTATTCATACAGGCAACTGTTAATATGCTGTTGATGTTAATATCTGCAAGCTGGTATTCTAATCAGGTACGCAAAGAGTGTCCAAATGCTTTAAATTTCAAGAGTTCCTTGTGTTCCACATTGTGAAATTTCTGTCTTTTTTCTGTGGGCTTTTGTTGCATGCTGCTAGGAGTCCCATTATGAGACATGTCATGCAGTCTCTTACTCACAATACTCTAGCTGATGAGGCAGTGTCCATGTTCTGTTAACTTATAGAGGTGTAGGAGCTACATTTATTCCTTAAAACTATCAGTAGATCAGTTCACAATATCACTGAAGATGTCACTTCGTTCCAACTTGAATCCTTTTACGGTTTGTGAAAATGCTAGCTGTCACTGTCCCATCTACACTTGATGCTGTAAAATTTGGTCAAAATTGGTAAACCATTCTAACATGTCTAAATTGGAAATATTAGAGAGTAAGGTCTCCATGTTCTGTGTTATTAAGGAGAATAACATTCACATGTCTTGAGCTTATCTAAGTGTTTGTGTGTTTGTGTATTATATAAAGGATATTGAATCACTTATCTGGTATCGTGGATATAACCGTGTGGTTACCATAAACTTGATGATTCAACAAACATTTTCGAAACCCCTTGGGGGTTGGCCTTCTAGGTCGAGCTCGTTGCACGGGGCTTGTTTAGTGTGGTTTACCTCTCCTATGTGGTTTGTGAGCTATTGCACAAGAGTGGGGTTTATCCGGTAGTGCGCACCCAAAGGGAAGCAGTTGCGGGTTCCCTTGTCATCAAAATAAAAATAAAGGATATAGAATTTGTGTCAGATGGAATTGGACTAACGAGATTTTAACTTTTTGTTCCTTGTCAAGATGTTTCGAATTGGTGGTGTTCCTTGTTTTATTTTGTGCTTTCTTTGTCTAACTCGATTTTTTATGTTTCCAGAGTCTTTTTAAGGCGTTTCCAGAGTCTTTTTAAGGTCAAATACCTGTAACTTGATTTCTATTTTCTTCAAGTATTTGGAGTAAAACTGGTGTTTTTGTTTGCTTGTTTTTGATTGATCAAAGCAAATGGTGATAATTAAGTTATTTGGATGCGTGTAACAGTATCTGCTCGAGGAAGTTGCCCTTGTTCCTGACCGATTAAAGAAGATCCCTTTGCAGGTCTGATGTTTGCCCCCTCAGCTTTTCCTGTGTGCCAAAGCAAGTTTTGTTTTAGTGGGCATGTCCTAACATCATTTGCTGTCTTCATCTTGTCAGGCCCGAAGAGATCTATTTCTCTTCCTCTCAAGGTTCATATTTTTCTATAAGCTAGGTAAGTTGATCTTAGCAGTAACCTCGCATAGAAGGTTGAGTACGCATGCTTATGTTTAATCTTTCTGCAGGTGACAAACTAGGAAGTTTCTTAAGGCAATTCCCTGATTTCCCGAATGCTTTCGTGATTGGTGGTGCAGCAGATATATTTGTCACTGAACTAGCTGATCAGGTAAGAGAAGTATCTTCAACATCACAAGCCATTTCCTTACTCTTCCTGTATTTGTTCTCATTTATACTTATGTTGTCAGCTTCAAAAACTAAAAGTGGAGCCAGTGTTGTTGCATTATCTCTCCCAATTGAAGTTCCTTCAAGGTAAAGCTAGTTTTGTAGTTAATTTGTAATAAATATGGGTTTTGTAAAGAATGGAGTTACATTTACAATGACCTCTCTGCAGGATTAGAGTTGAGAATGGCTACTAGTACAAGATTGAAAACTTGCGTGTATAGCTTCACGTCACCAGGTGCTCCCATGTACCCAACAAGAGCTGTCCGCCATGCAGCATGGGATGCATTAGATTTGCTATATCATGTGAGTTATCTCTCCATTATCTGAATAAAGCTCATGATTTGATATCATTACTTCGTCTTAGTCCGGACAATATATGGATTGATGTAAGATGTATTTACTTTTCATCTGTGCGTGAAATGTTTAACAGTAAGTATCCTGATGCACAATGCACCTAGGAAGTAGATAAAGAATTACAGAAACAATAGTTCAGAATCCTTTGGGGTATCTTTAAATAAAAGATATTCTGGTCTTTATCAGTTTTTTCTTTGAGAGTCAGAAATGCAGCTTGAACCTTAAGCTGCATATATTTTTAGACTAGCTTGTAACATCTTGTGCATAGCTGTTGAGAAGAAAAATCCGGGCTAGAAGAAACCTAATCTGTAGGTGGAACTGGTGATATTTTTGTAAGTGGGTGGTATACAAAGATAACTTCTTAGAATAGCTGTTTCAGTTACTTTGCCAGTTTGTGGTAAATGTGGAATCCTTTGTTAGCTTCTGTATTTCCTTTTCAACATGGAAGCTTATGATTGCCATTAGAGAATATCGCAAGCTTAGGAGGTTTATCGCCTTCCTCTTCCTCTTAAGAGTTCCTCTTTTTCCTCTAATATGATTTAATGTCTTGCTTCAGGTCGGACGATACCCTCGGCATAGTATAAGTCTCTTTTTCCGTTTGCTGTATCCTTGGTATTGGCCTTCTTCATTTTGGAACTTTATAAAGTCATGCATTCTGGCCGTGCTCTATTCTCTTTTGAGGTTAATATTTTGTAGTTTGTAGTTGGGATAAAGTGAGGAGTAGACCAAAGGAGCAATGATGTCGCCCAATGGTGTTCGACATTTAAGCTTTGTGCAGAGTAATGTTGTATGTTTTTTAAGTCAAGAAGTTTGGTTCTTGATGTATCAAAGGTTTTTTTCCTGCATGTAATTAAGATATTGGGAATTATTGTTTTCGGAAGCATGGTGGTGTAGAACGATATACATGTAGAATTGTTCTCATTTCTACTGTAGCGGATATACTAGTTGTGTGCTTTTACTTTTCTTAGTTCAGGTTGTAGGTGAAAAAAATGCCAGGATCCTCTTCAGTGTTCATTCTGATTTTAGCTTATGTTTGGAACACACTTGTTTGGGGGGTGTTGGGGGGTGCAATTGAAGAGAACTTTTTATTAATCACCAAGTAGACTTGGGAAACAAGGCTCAACTATCCATTTCTCGGGTTTTAACTTGGCACGACATTTTAAACAGTAAATTTTGTGGTTGAGAACCTTTTAGAATTGAAGAGTCCTTAAAAAAGGAAAGAGCATTTATTTTGAAACGTGCTAAAAAGAAAGTATTATTCTACAACAAAGAAATCACAAAACCCCAAAAGAGAGAAGTCAACTTTAAAGCAAACAGCGTTGTTGAGCCTTGTGTAGCATGCCTTTGAAGATGGTAGCTGTGTTGTGATGCAGCCGTTGGTTTCTCTCAATCCAGAGGCTATAGACAGTTGTGGGCCCACACTTCACAGGTAAAGGTCACAACTTCCAAGAAACAAGGCATACCTATATTTCACAAATGTCAATACAAAATGAGGTAGATGAAAGAAAACGGGAGAGAGTGAATTTCCTTAAGGAGATTCAGTAAGTATCACTACACAGACAAGCTCAACTGAATGTTTAACAACTGCACTGTATAAAGGGATCATCCATGCTTGACAACATTATTTTATATACAAAATACCTAAAAAGGTAAGTGACACCAGAAAGATGAGGGACAAGCTCATCACTCCTTTTTTCAGAGGGAGACCAGAAGAGAGTCAACGATTGAGCTCACCAACCCATCAATGTTCTTCTGACTTTGTCTACAATCTGATTTCTACCAACCATAGATGACATGTCAAATCTACAATCTTCGTCTAAAAGGAATCTGTAAAACTCCCACTCACGATCACTTGTACAATGCCTTCCAATTTCCGCCTGCAAAAAGACATTAAAGGTCATCCACCATGAGAAAAGGAATAAAGTGATATAGTGAACCATTTGGAGCTATAAAATTAAAAACAGAGTCATGTGCACCAGTTCTATATGGGGAGGTTAGTTGCTTAAGGAGGTAATGCCTCCATTCAATTTTCTTTAGAATTTTGTCCTTTAATTAAAGTTGAAATTTGAAAGCAATTCGTCACTCGAAACGTTCCTTCACCCCTAGATACTCACCGAGAAGATGCAGATCCCAAGAGTCTTCAATGCCAGAGTAACGTCATAGAAAACTCGGGGTCTACCCTTTCCATCTAGCTCCACAGGATTAGCAACCAAAAGTTCAGTATCTGTCCCACGATTTGTGATAATTACACGTAGAGGATGAAGCATTTCCACCTTCAAGCGAGAACAAAGAGCATCTCGTTTATCTGGATCCACAATCTTTTTCCCATCCTTCTGCCTAATAAAAAGGTCTAATTCCCTCAAACCCTTATTAACTGATGAAAATCGACCATAAGCAATCTAAACACAAGAAAGGTCAATTATCAGATTAACCAGGATTCTTCTCTAATTCATTATTTCGGACATAACCCGATGACAAGTAGAAATATAAACTGGAATGAAAGCAATGGATTTGAAAAAAAAAGATCTCATGTATGAATAACCAACTTTTTAGATATTTGACAAGTGTTATAGAACAAAGTTTATTAGGTATCATTAAAACAATAACATGGATGAATCATTTTTCCTTCTTTTGATAGGTAAACACGCATCTAGTCTTCATTACGGAAGACAGAAACTTACAAAAATAATTACCTACCAAGAGTACATTATTCCTTTTGAGTTTTGTCCAATTTGACAATCCACCTTTAGTTTGATGTATTTGCTTTTCATGAAAAACGTTGTTTTCCATCTCTATGTTGTAGATGAGTAGAAGAAAGGATAAAGTTGTACCGAGAAAGTATAAGTGGGACCATTCAACCTCGGTAAATATATTAGAACTTTCAATCTAAGGAATGTGGACAACATCTAGAACACACCATAAAGAGAAGTTAGACAAGCATTTTAGAGAGGTAGTGTCATTTTACATGAGGTTATAAAGACTAGAGGATGAACATATTTGGCGGAAAAGATCAGCACCTAGCACTGGATTAGGTGACAAAATAAGACTACCAAAGGATGTTTCTGCATAAGCATAATGTTTACCATTTCATCAAAGCGGAGACCAAAGACAAAATTGACAATATCACTGAACTTGCATCCCTAATTTTCTATATAGCAATAGACAATCCTACTATTTAAGGTCCAATGTTTGTTAGTATTCTTCTAGTTTGGTCAAAAAAATTATATGGTAGGAGAAAATGTAGAGAATTTCTGGTGATAGAGAAACTATTGTTTTATAATATTGTACAGAGATGAGCTCAAATGGAGCAACATGGACAATGAGTATTCATTTAATCGACTCAAACTTGCTTTGGTTGAGGCATATAGTTTTTGTTTTTATTTTTGAAACTGGTAAGTATCAAACATAAAGTTATTTTTATTGCTGTAACAACGAATAATGCAATTATTGACTTCAAACTCATTGAAGTCGGGAGGGCCAATTCAAGTAACCTGGCACTAATAGGTTACACTTGCAATAATGTCATAAAAATGGTAGGGGAACGATAGGAAGTACAAAGTTGTTAAATGTAAAAGTAAGTACCTGAATATTGCAGTCTTTCAATGTGCGCATAATGTCATAAAGAAAACCCTTGTGATCAACACAACAGATCTGAACCAATGTATGCCCTGGGCTCAGGGAATTATCTATTGTCACACTAGCCTTCTTCAACTGTGTCATATCTGGGCTAAGAGCTTGTGTGCGAAAGACATTATCTGATAGTTCACACCTAAATAATTCCTCAGAAACAGATGGATAAAGAGAAGAGATACATTGAAGATTATCATACTGCGGGCCAGCTAACTGAAGCTCACAACTACATGATTGGCCCAGAACAACATGCAACTGCTTGTATGTTTCATTTTGTCTCTCTTTTGTGTGTAAGAGCTCACTGAACATGAAATAAGGTAGATTTTAACATTAATGAAGAGACAACACCATCCATATATAGATATAAGATCTTTAACTCATACAGTAAACGAAAGCTGAAGTTTTGTGCTGAAAAATCTAAATTTACAAAAACTAGAACTATATCACAGACTTTGACTGCTTAATATATTAAGAATATTTCATTTTTCATCATGAACCTCTCTAATTATTTGCAATAAAACAGGAGGAATGCAATTATAAGATTTAAGCAGAAAAAGGTAAACAGAAACATCATCTGCAGATTATATTTTTGTTAGTCCAATATAAATATGGATGAAAAAACTCTCTGCATATACTTAACATTCTTGAAAATTTGATACAAATAAAGTAACATCATTGGAGCAAATATAAGAATATTTAGTTTTTTTCAAATCAACTATATAAATTAGTGGAGTCTAAAAAGAAGAAGCATCATGTAGGCCCCAATGTATTGAGGCAGAAAGACACAAGTAAGTTAACAAAAACAGTGTAGTTGCTCCAGTGTTGTGAAAGGCGATCGCCTCATCGCGAATGACGAGAAGCGAGAGGCGAGGCGACCCTTCATCGTCTTTTAGCTTTGATACACTCAAATTACACTTCCCTAAAGAAGCATAAGCGATCGTTATCAAGTAAAGACCCCAACTTGTAGGTTGGGGTAGATCCCACGAGAAAAATGGTCTAGACTTAACTTTAACCAACAATTATATTCGTGTAGTCAAATTACTTCCAGAAACAAGTAATTAAAGGGGGGGATTTTGTGAAACAAATTGTAAGAATTCAGTAATTAATCAATAAACAAAAGTCAATTTTGGTTGTTATCAAGATGAGAGAATCAACTAGGGTATATGTGTTCCCCACAAGTTCATAATGCAGTAATCCTAGTAATAGCAATCCTGTCCTAGTATGCTACATGCAAAGTGATAAGAATATCGCAAGCTTAGGAGGTTTATCGCCTTCCTCTTCCTCTTAAGAGTTCCTCTTTTTCCTCTAATATGATTTAATGTCTTGCTTCAGGTCGGACGATACCCTCGGCATATTATAAGTCTCTTTTTCCGTTTGCTGTATCCTTGGTATTGGCCTTCTTCATTTTGGAACTTTATAAAGTCATGCATTCTGGCCGTGCTCTATTCTCTTTTGAGGTTAATATTTTGTAGTTTGTAGTTGGGATAAAGTGAGGAGTAGACCAAAGGAGCAATGATGTCGCCCAATGGTGTTCGACATTTAAGCTTTGTGCAGAGTAATGTTGTATGTTTTTTAAGTCAAGAAGTTTGGTTCTTGATGTATCAAAGGTTTTTTTTCCTGCATGTAATTAAGATATTGGGAATTATTGTTTTCGGAAGCATGGTGGTGTAGAACGATATACATGTAGAATTGTTCTCATTTCTACTGTAGCGGATATACTAGTTGTGTGCTTTTACTTTTCTTAGTTCAGGTTGTAGGTGAAAAAAATGCCAGGATCCTCTTCAGTGTTCATTCTGATTTTAGCTTATGTTTGGAACACACTTGTTTGGGGGGTGTTGGGGGGTGCAATTGAAGAGAACTTTTTATTAATCACCAAGTAGACTTGGGAAACAAGGCTCAACTATCCATTTCTCGGGTTTTAACTTGGCACGACATTTTAAACAGTAAATTTTGTGGTTGAGAACCTTTTAGAATTGAAGAGTCCTTAAAAAAGGAAAGAGCATTTATTTTGAAACGTGCTAAAAAGAAAGTATTATTCTACAACAAAGAAATCACAAAACCCCAAAAGAGAGAAGTCAACTTTAAAGCAAACAGCGTTGTTGAGCCTTGTGTAGCATGCCTTTGAAGATGGTAGCTGTGTTGTGATGCAGCCGTTGGTTTCTCTCAATCCAGAGGCTATAGACAGTTGTGGGCCCACACTTCACAGGTAAAGGTCACAACTTCCAAGAAACAAGGCATACCTATATTTCACAAATGTCAATACAAAATGAGGTAGATGAAAGAAAACGGGAGAGAGTGAATTTCCTTAAGGAGATTCAGTAAGTATCACTACACAGACAAGCTCAACTGAATGTTTAACAACTGCACTGTATAAAGGGATCATCCATGCTTGACAACATTATTTTATATACAAAATACCTAAAAAGGTAAGTGACACCAGAAAGATGAGGGACAAGCTCATCACTCCTTTTTTCAGAGGGAGACCAGAAGAGAGTCAACGATTGAGCTCACCAACCCATCAATGTTCTTCTGACTTTGTCTACAATCTGATTTCTACCAACCATAGATGACATGTCAAATCTACAATCTTCGTCTAAAAGGAATCTGTAAAACTCCCACTCACGATCACTTGTACAATGCCTTCCAATTTCCGCCTGCAAAAAGACATTAAAGGTCATCCACCATGAGAAAAGGAATAAAGTGATATAGTGAACCATTTGGAGCTATAAAATTAAAAACAGAGTCATGTGCACCAGTTCTATATGGGGAGGTTAGTTGCTTAAGGAGGTAATGCCTCCATTCAATTTTCTTTAGAATTTTGTCCTTTAATTAAAGTTGAAATTTGAAAGCAATTCGTCACTCGAAACGTTCCTTCACCCCTAGATACTCACCGAGAAGATGCAGATCCCAAGAGTCTTCAATGCCAGAGTAACGTCATAGAAAACTCGGGGTCTACCCTTTCCATCTAGCTCCACAGGATTAGCAACCAAAAGTTCAGTATCTGTCCCACGATTTGTGATAATTACACGTAGAGGATGAAGCATTTCCACCTTCAAGCGAGAACAAAGAGCATCTCGTTTATCTGGATCCACAATCTTTTTCCCATCCTTCTGCCTAATAAAAAGGTCTAATTCCCTCAAACCCTTATTAACTGATGAAAATCGACCATAAGCAATCTAAACACAAGAAAGGTCAATTATCAGATTAACCAGGATTCTTCTCTAATTCATTATTTCGGACATAACCCGATGACAAGTAGAAATATAAACTGGAATGAAAGCAATGGATTTGAAAAAAAAAGATCTCATGTATGAATAACCAACTTTTTAGATATTTGACAAGTGTTATAGAACAAAGTTTATTAGGTATCATTAAAACAATAACATGGATGAATCATTTTTCCTTCTTTTGATAGGTAAACACGCATCTAGTCTTCATTACGGAAGACAGAAACTTACAAAAATAATTACCTACCAAGAGTACATTATTCCTTTTGAGTTTTGTCCAATTTGACAATCCACCTTTAGTTTGATGTATTTGCTTTTCATGAAAAACGTTGTTTTCCATCTCTATGTTGTAGATGAGTAGAAGAAAGGATAAAGTTGTACCGAGAAAGTATAAGTGGGACCATTCAACCTCGGTAAATATATTAGAACTTTCAATCTAAGGAATGTGGACAACATCTAGAACACACCATAAAGAGAAGTTAGACAAGCATTTTAGAGAGGTAGTGTCATTTTACATGAGGTTATAAAGACTAGAGGATGAACATATTTGGCGGAAAAGATCAGCACCTAGCACTGGATTAGGTGACAAAATAAGACTACCAAAGGATGTTTCTGCATAAGCATAATGTTTACCATTTCATCAAAGCGGAGACCAAAGACAAAATTGACAATATCACTGAACTTGCATCCCTAATTTTCTATATAGCAATAGACAATCCTACTATTTAAGGTCCAATGTTTGTTAGTATTCTTCTAGTTTGGTCAAAAAAATTATATGGTAGGAGAAAATGTAGAGAATTTCTGGTGATAGAGAAACTATTGTTTTATAATATTGTACAGAGATGAGCTCAAATGGAGCAACATGGACAATGAGTATTCATTTAATCGACTCAAACTTGCTTTGGTTGAGGCATATAGTTTTTGTTTTTATTTTTGAAACTGGTAAGTATCAAACATAAAGTTATTTTTATTGCTGTAACAACGAATAATGCAATTATTGACTTCAAACTCATTGAAGTCGGGAGGGCCAATTCAAGTAACCTGGCACTAATAGGTTACACTTGCAATAATGTCATAAAAATGGTAGGGGAACGATAGGAAGTACAAAGTTGTTAAATGTAAAAGTAAGTACCTGAATATTGCAGTCTTTCAATGTGCGCATAATGTCATAAAGAAAACCCTTGTGATCAACACAACAGATCTGAACCAATGTATGCCCTGGGCTCAGGGAATTATCTATTGTCACACTAGCCTTCTTCAACTGTGTCATATCTGGGCTAAGAGCTTGTGTGCGAAAGACATTATCTGATAGTTCACACCTAAATAATTCCTCAGAAACAGATGGATAAAGAGAAGAGATACATTGAAGATTATCATACTGCGGGCCAGCTAACTGAAGCTCACAACTACATGATTGGCCCAGAACAACATGCAACTGCTTGTATGTTTCATTTTGTCTCTCTTTTGTGTGTAAGAGCTCACTGAACATGAAATAAGGTAGATTTTAACATTAATGAAGAGACAACACCATCCATATATAGATATAAGATCTTTAACTCATACAGTAAACGAAAGCTGAAGTTTTGTGCTGAAAAATCTAAATTTACAAAAACTAGAACTATATCACAGACTTTGACTGCTTAATATATTAAGAATATTTCATTTTTCATCATGAACCTCTCTAATTATTTGCAATAAAACAGGAGGAATGCAATTATAAGATTTAAGCAGAAAAAGGTAAACAGAAACATCATCTGCAGATTATATTTTTGTTAGTCCAATATAAATATGGATGAAAAAACTCTCTGCATATACTTAACATTCTTGAAAATTTGATACAAATAAAGTAACATCATTGGAGCAAATATAAGAATATTTAGTTTTTTTCAAATCAACTATATAAATTAGTGGAGTCTAAAAAGAAGAAGCATCATGTAGGCCCCAATGTATTGAGGCAGAAAGACACAAGTAAGTTAACAAAAACAGTGTAGTTGCTCCAGTGTTGTGAAAGGCGATCGCCTCATCGCGAATGACGAGAAGCGAGAGGCGAGGCGACCCTTCATCGTCTTTTAGCTTTGATACACTCAAATTACACTTCCCTAAAGAAGCATAAGCGATCGTTATCAAGTAAAGACCCCAACTTGTAGGTTGGGGTAGATCCCACGAGAAAAAATGGTCTAGACTTAACTTTAACCAACAATTATATTCGTGTAGTCAAATTACTTCCAGAAACAAGTAATTAAAGGGGGGGATTTTGTGAAACAAATTGTAAGAATTCAGTAATTAATCAATAAACAAAAGTCAATTTTGGTTGTTATCAAGATGAGAGAATCAACTAGGGTATATGTGTTCCCCACAAGTTCATAATGCAGTAATCCTAGTAATAGCAATCCTGTCCTAGTATGCTACATGCAAAGTGATAAGAATATCGCAAGCTTAGGAGGTTTATCGCCTTCCTCTTCCTCTTAAGAGTTCCTCTTTTTCCTCTAATATGATTTAATGTCTTGCTTCAGGTCGGACGATACCCTCGGCATATTATAAGTCTCTTTTTCCGTTTGCTGTATCCTTGGTATTGGCCTTCTTCATTTTGGAACTTTATAAAGTCATGCATTCTGGCCGTGCTCTATTCTCTTTTGAGGTTAATATTTTGTAGTTTGTAGTTGGGATAAAGTGAGGAGTAGACCAAAGGAGCAATGATGTCGCCCAATGGTGTTCGACATTTAAGCTTTGTGCAGAGTAATGTTGTATGTTTTTTAAGTCAAGAAGTTTGGTTCTTGATGTATCAAAGGTTTTTTTCCTGCATGTAATTAAGATATTGGGAATTATTGTTTTCGGAAGCATGGTGGTGTAGAACGATATACATGTAGAATTGTTCTCATTTCTACTGTAGCGGATATACTAGTTGTGTGCTTTTACTTTTCTTAGTTCAGGTTGTAGGTGAAAAAAAATGCCAGGATCCTCTTCAGTGTTCATTCTGATTTTAGCTTATGTTTGGAACACACTTGTTTGGGGGGTGTTGGGGGGTGCAATTGAAGAGAACTTTTTATTAATCACCAAGTAGACTTGGGAAACAAGGCTCAACTATCCATTTCTCGGGTTTTAACTTGGCACGACATTTTAAACAGTAAATTTTGTGGTTGAGAACCTTTTAGAATTGAAGAGTCCTTAAAAAAGGAAAGAGCATTTATTTTGAAACGTGCTAAAAAGAAAGTATTATTCTACAACAAAGAAATCACAAAACCCCAAAAGAGAGAAGTCAACTTTAAAGCAAACAGCGTTGTTGAGCCTTGTGTAGCATGCCTTTGAAGATGGTAGCTGTGTTGTGATGCAGCCGTTGGTTTCTCTCAATCCAGAGGCTATAGACAGTTGTGGGCCCACACTTCACAGGTAAAGGTCACAACTTCCAAGAAACAAGGCATACCTATATTTCACAAATGTCAATACAAAATGAGGTAGATGAAAGAAAACGGGAGAGAGTGAATTTCCTTAAGGAGATTCAGTAAGTATCACTACACAGACAAGCTCAACTGAATGTTTAACAACTGCACTGTATAAAGGGATCATCCATGCTTGACAACATTATTTTATATACAAAATACCTAAAAAGGTAAGTGACACCAGAAAGATGAGGGACAAGCTCATCACTCCTTTTTTCAGAGGGAGACCAGAAGAGAGTCAACGATTGAGCTCACCAACCCATCAATGTTCTTCTGACTTTGTCTACAATCTGATTTCTACCAACCATAGATGACATGTCAAATCTACAATCTTCGTCTAAAAGGAATCTGTAAAACTCCCACTCACGATCACTTGTACAATGCCTTCCAATTTCCGCCTGCAAAAAGACATTAAAGGTCATCCACCATGAGAAAAGGAATAAAGTGATATAGTGAACCATTTGGAGCTATAAAATTAAAAACAGAGTCATGTGCACCAGTTCTATATGGGGAGGTTAGTTGCTTAAGGAGGTAATGCCTCCATTCAATTTTCTTTAGAATTTTGTCCTTTAATTAAAGTTGAAATTTGAAAGCAATTCGTCACTCGAAACGTTCCTTCACCCCTAGATACTCACCGAGAAGATGCAGATCCCAAGAGTCTTCAATGCCAGAGTAACGTCATAGAAAACTCGGGGTCTACCCTTTCCATCTAGCTCCACAGGATTAGCAACCAAAAGTTCAGTATCTGTCCCACGATTTGTGATAATTACACGTAGAGGATGAAGCATTTCCACCTTCAAGCGAGAACAAAGAGCATCTCGTTTATCTGGATCCACAATCTTTTTCCCATCCTTCTGCCTAATAAAAAGGTCTAATTCCCTCAAACCCTTATTAACTGATGAAAATCGACCATAAGCAATCTAAACACAAGAAAGGTCAATTATCAGATTAACCAGGATTCTTCTCTAATTCATTATTTCGGACATAACCCGATGACAAGTAGAAATATAAACTGGAATGAAAGCAATGGATTTGAAAAAAAAAGATCTCATGTATGAATAACCAACTTTTTAGATATTTGACAAGTGTTATAGAACAAAGTTTATTAGGTATCATTAAAACAATAACATGGATGAATCATTTTTCCTTCTTTTGATAGGTAAACACGCATCTAGTCTTCATTACGGAAGACAGAAACTTACAAAAATAATTACCTACCAAGAGTACATTATTCCTTTTGAGTTTTGTCCAATTTGACAATCCACCTTTAGTTTGATGTATTTGCTTTTCATGAAAAACGTTGTTTTCCATCTCTATGTTGTAGATGAGTAGAAGAAAGGATAAAGTTGTACCGAGAAAGTATAAGTGGGACCATTCAACCTCGGTAAATATATTAGAACTTTCAATCTAAGGAATGTGGACAACATCTAGAACACACCATAAAGAGAAGTTAGACAAGCATTTTAGAGAGGTAGTGTCATTTTACATGAGGTTATAAAGACTAGAGGATGAACATATTTGGCGGAAAAGATCAGCACCTAGCACTGGATTAGGTGACAAAATAAGACTACCAAAGGATGTTTCTGCATAAGCATAATGTTTACCATTTCATCAAAGCGGAGACCAAAGACAAAATTGACAATATCACTGAACTTGCATCCCTAATTTTCTATATAGCAATAGACAATCCTACTATTTAAGGTCCAATGTTTGTTAGTATTCTTCTAGTTTGGTCAAAAAAATTATATGGTAGGAGAAAATGTAGAGAATTTCTGGTGATAGAGAAACTATTGTTTTATAATATTGTACAGAGATGAGCTCAAATGGAGCAACATGGACAATGAGTATTCATTTAATCGACTCAAACTTGCTTTGGTTGAGGCATATAGTTTTTGTTTTTATTTTTGAAACTGGTAAGTATCAAACATAAAGTTATTTTTATTGCTGTAACAACGAATAATGCAATTATTGACTTCAAACTCATTGAAGTCGGGAGGGCCAATTCAAGTAACCTGGCACTAATAGGTTACACTTGCAATAATGTCATAAAAATGGTAGGGGAACGATAGGAAGTACAAAGTTGTTAAATGTAAAAGTAAGTACCTGAATATTGCAGTCTTTCAATGTGCGCATAATGTCATAAAGAAAACCCTTGTGATCAACACAACAGATCTGAACCAATGTATGCCCTGGGCTCAGGGAATTATCTATTGTCACACTAGCCTTCTTCAACTGTGTCATATCTGGGCTAAGAGCTTGTGTGCGAAAGACATTATCTGATAGTTCACACCTAAATAATTCCTCAGAAACAGATGGATAAAGAGAAGAGATACATTGAAGATTATCATACTGCGGGCCAGCTAACTGAAGCTCACAACTACATGATTGGCCCAGAACAACATGCAACTGCTTGTATGTTTCATTTTGTCTCTCTTTTGTGTGTAAGAGCTCACTGAACATGAAATAAGGTAGATTTTAACATTAATGAAGAGACAACACCATCCATATATAGATATAAGATCTTTAACTCATACAGTAAACGAAAGCTGAAGTTTTGTGCTGAAAAATCTAAATTTACAAAAACTAGAACTATATCACAGACTTTGACTGCTTAATATATTAAGAATATTTCATTTTTCATCATGAACCTCTCTAATTATTTGCAATAAAACAGGAGGAATGCAATTATAAGATTTAAGCAGAAAAAGGTAAACAGAAACATCATCTGCAGATTATATTTTTGTTAGTCCAATATAAATATGGATGAAAAAACTCTCTGCATATACTTAACATTCTTGAAAATTTGATACAAATAAAGTAACATCATTGGAGCAAATATAAGAATATTTAGTTTTTTTCAAATCAACTATATAAATTAGTGGAGTCTAAAAAGAAGAAGCATCATGTAGGCCCCAATGTATTGAGGCAGAAAGACACAAGTAAGTTAACAAAAACAGTGTAGTTGCTCCAGTGTTGTGAAAGGCGATCGCCTCATCGCGAATGACGAGAAGCGAGAGGCGAGGCGACCCTTCATCGTCTTTTAGCTTTGATACACTCAAATTACACTTCCCTAAAGAAGCATAAGCGATCGTTATCAAGTAAAGACCCCAACTTGTAGGTTGGGGTAGATCCCACGAGAAAAATGGTCTAGACTTAACTTTAACCAACAATTATATTCGTGTAGTCAAATTACTTCCAGAAACAAGTAATTAAAGGGGGGGGATTTTGTGAAACAAATTGTAAGAATTCAGTAATTAATCAATAAACAAAAGTCAATTTTGGTTGTTATCAAGATGAGAGAATCAACTAGGGTATATGTGTTCCCCACAAGTTCATAATGCAGTAATCCTAGTAATAGCAATCCTGTCCTAGTATGCTACATGCAAAGTGATAAGTTAGGTATCTCTAAATCCTTGGTCCGGCATTTAGAGAATTTCACCCCGCACCTTGGTCCGGCTACGTGTATATAACTTACTAACCCTTACCTTTACCTCATATTAGACATCACATCGATGTTTGGCTTAGTTATTACTTCGCACCAATCGACACTAGCCTATTAGATAGTATCACACTAAATCTATGTTGATAATTCTTTTCTTGTTGATTACCTCCTTGGTCCGACAAGTAGCAACAAGGCGAGCTCTAACATGTGCACTCGTTAAAAAGACTTCTAAACGAAAGAATTATTAATGCATGCAACAACACTATTCAGGAATTGCTTATTTACTATTCATACTTTGTTAATCGTTCATGGTTCCCACAACCCTAGGTCGTGGAGTTTAGTTACCCATAATCATATGAACACAATTCATTGTTTTAGATGAAAGAATTATGAACTTACATATGAAGAATAATAAACCCATAAATTCAACTTGAATTGCAACACCAAAATCTTCAAAACGAACTTAGGAAATTAAGAATTGCTAAAGTTGCAAGTTAATCTCCCAAGTCAAGAACTAAAATGAAAGTAATAAAGTCTAACCCCTAAAAACGAGGTTTACATACCCTATTTATAGAAAACAAATCCTAAAATAAAAGGGAAACAAAATAAGGAAATAAAACTGCAGGACGCATCTCCATTCCACGAGGCTGACCTATGGTCCGTAAGTCGAATGACGGTCCGTAGGTCTCTTTCGTGGCTCCATACTTAGCCGATTTGAAATCTTCACAAATCCACCTCTCTCAGTCAACTTCCACGAACCAGCAACACGGTCCGTCAGTGATACGACGGACCGTCAGTAACCTCTGTTGCTCTTTACTTAGATTATTTCAACTCAGGTACTGGCACCACTACTCTGATCACTTCTACGGAGCTGTAGGACGGACCGTAAGTCATTCAACGGTCCGTCAGTCCCCACCGTGGTTCCACACTTAGTCAGATTTCCATGAGCTTCAATCTTGCCATGCCTGGTCATCCCACAACCTTTATCTACGGGGCGTCACTTATCCTACGGTCCGTAGGTGACTCTTTTTCAGCACTTGCCTCAGCTACATTTTCATCTTTAGCGCCTGAGTTTATTCCCTGAAATTACAGAAAAAACACATAAAACTAACACACAAATTCCCTAGACATTCACAAATCCTAAGAGAAACATATCAATAGTACCGAAAACTCACGGTACATCAAGCTTTGTGCCGAGCGATCTTCAAAAGGCAACGCCATGGTGACAAAGGTGAGAGGAGAGAAAGGCGTCACCTTTTGTATTTTTGTAAAAAAGGCGACCAATTTAGGGTTTTAAAAGTTAAAAGTAATTTTAGGGTTTTCGACTAGACACCTCCGGTGACCAGCCAGACTTTTTCTGCGACTCCAAAGTCCAACCAATACATATTTCTTCTTCTTCTTCTTCTTCTTACTTCAGAGCCACTTGCTCTGTTTTTTTCTCATTCAAGTTCTAGATTTTAAGTATGTACTATCTATTTTCAGTTTTTGAATTGAAATATTTGCTAATATGTTATTGCTATTGAGATTTGATTATTTTATATTTGCAATTAAGTATTATAATTTTTTGGTATTAATTGGCACCACACTTCAAATAGGCGAGCAGCCTTGTGGCGAGGCAGACCCTTGTCACCTTTTATCGCCTTTTGCCGTCCAAAACACTGAGTTTCTCTTTAAAAGGTGATAATTTACTTGTAGAAATTTTATTTACTTAAACCAGGTTCTAGGTTCTCTTTTTTTCCTTAAGACACCACTGTCCCTATACACCCTGCATTTAAGCTTAGTTCTGTATTGGCCTGTTCAAGATTTGACAATAAGAACAACGACAGATCCATTACAACTCTACAACTCAATATTCTCTAACCAAAATGCAGAAGAGAAATCCTTACGAGTGGTCTGTTATAAAGAAAATGTCTAGGACATGATCATCTAGAGTTGTTGTCACCTTTACCCTTTGGATGGTAAGCTCAAGCTCGCAGAGAACTTGGGTAACATCTATGGAAATCATGCACAATAACGTCATAAGAGAACAAACACTAGTCAATAAGTAGAACTATTGCAAGAAATTTATTTTTACCATGCAATAATCCTCTTCGGTCACGGCTACAAAACGTCAACAAGTATACAGGAGAAGAAGCTGGACATGGGGATGGTTCATTCAAATAGAATGAAACAGAGCATGACGGGCACACTGACAAAAGGCGCTCCTTCAAATTCACCCACCTTACAATAGATGAGCTAGAGTGAGGAACCACCCATAATATCACATAGCACCATATCTCATCTGTTGAAACATCTGATTCATAGAAAACGTTGAGCACTTAGTTAAAGCTGATGAGAAAATGCATAAAAGCAAGGAAGCTAAACAATAAACTGTTACCATATTGCAATAACTTCAACAAAGAATAAAAAGGTTGACAACTGAAAAACACAGTTTAATAATCAGTGACAGTACATGAAAGATAAAAAAGGTAATTCCATAGCCTAGCTTCACATATTATGTGCACAATGTATAATCAATTATCAATCAATCAATCAACTTTCTTAATCCCGAACTAGTCTAGTATGTGCCTAATAACAAGATAATAAAAATATTACTTTTAAGCTACAACAACAACATAACTACTGTAGTCCCACAATGTCAGGTCTAGGGAGTATAGAGTGTACGCAAACATTACCCCTAACTCAGAGGTAGAGAGACTGATTCCAATAGACATTCAAGTAATAATTTACTGTTCATTAAAATATTGCACTCAAACCATAAAATAGTTGAGAAGCGTCCCCTTAACATGAAAATCAAAATATTGTTAGGATCTGAATAATCAGGTAAGCAAATTGTACTGCATATCCAACATTCAAAACCCTAATCAGATGAAAGACCAAACAAAAAAAAAAACAAAAAAGTGAATATGCAGAAAACAAGTAGCTGAATATAGCAAATTCTGAGATATAAGAATACCTCCTTTGGTAATGTAGAGTCCGAAATCGAGAATAATATGGCAAATATCACATCCGAGGTCGGTTTTATCTGGACAATTCACTGTAATAACATAAGGTTCATCAGACCTTTTCCCTTTCTGGATCATTACAACATCATCCATCGGTAATCCCATGCTGGATTTCAATCAAAACAAAGTAAGCAGCCGTCCGCCGTTCTAATTTCAAAATTTCCTGGCAATAATTCTAGAACATTTCGTGATTAGTTGGTCGGCAAAATTCCCGGCGAAGCTGGTATTCTGTTGTTCCGACATATAAAAGGGAAGTTCGATATATTGGAAGTAGGGAGGTGATCCGTTGTGAGATCATATTTTATATGTATTATCCTAAAAACTTTGAGGATTGCATTTGCTAATTTTGTATTTATCTGTCTTAATTTTCTTAATACACAGTCAACTCCTTGAAAAGGTTGCGACTTGTAATAAATATTGTGAATATTTATCCATTTTTGAAGGTAAATGTGTCACAATGTGATAAAAGAAGGAAAAAAATATAAATTTCCCTCCTGAACTTGTCTCGAAAAGTTATCCACTCGCTTACCTATTACACACCTTTACTACTCAAAAGTGAATTTATTACCACCCTGAGATGTGTAACACCACTCTCACATTATGTGGTTATTACTGATACGCTCAAATTACACCTCCGTAAAGAAGCATAAACGATCGTTATCAAATAAAGAACCCAACTTGTAGGTTGGGGTTGATCCCACGAGGAAAATGGTTTAGACCTTACTTTAACCAACAATTATATTAAATTAGTCAAATTACTTCCAGAAACAAGTAATTAAATGTGGGAAATTTGTGAAACAAATTGTAAAAATTCAACAAGTGATCAATACACAAAAGTCAATCTTTGTTGTTATCAAGATGAGAGAATTAACTAGGGTATACGTGTTCCCCACAAGCTCATAACGCAGTAATCCTAGTAATAACAATCATTTCCTAGTATATCACATGCAAAGTGGTAAGTTATGTATCTCTAAATCCTTGGTCCGGCATCTAGAGAATTTCACCCCGCACCTTGGTCCGGCTATGTGTGTATAATTTACTAACCCTTACCTATACCTCATATTAGCCATCATAATTGATGTTTGGCTTAGTTATTACTTCGCACCAATCGACACTAGACTATTCGATAGTATCACACTAAATCTATGTTGATAATTCTTTTCTTGTTAATTACCTCTTTGGTCCGGCAAGTAGTAACAAGGCGAGTTCTAACATTTGCCACCGTTAAAAAGACTTCTAAACGAAAGAGTTATCAATGCATGCAAAATACTAGTCAAGAATTGCTTATTTACTATTCATACTTCGTTAATCGCTCATGGTTCCCACAACCCTAGTTGTGGATTTAGTTACCCATATTAGCAAGAACACAATTCATAGTTTTAGATGAAGAAATCATGAACTTACGTAAGGAGAATAATAAACCCAGAAATTCAACTTGAATTGCAAAGCCAAAATCTTCAAAACGAACTTAGGAAATCAATAATTGCTAGGTTTGCAAATTAATCTCCCCAGTCACAAAGTAAAACTAGAATAATAATGTCTCCTCCCCAAAAACGAGGTTTACATACCCTATTTATAGAAAACAAGTCCTATGTTAAAAAGGAAATAAATTAAGGAAAGTTTGTTCAGGCACGCGTCTTCATTCCACGAGACTGACTCACGGACCGTCAATGGATCTACGGTCTGTGAGTCCCTTCCGTCAACTAGGACTTAGAAAATATTTCAGCTTCCACCAATCAGCTTCTCTGAAGCAAACGATGAAACTGTAGTACGAATCGTAGAACGATCTACGGTCCGTTAATCCCCCTGCGTAGCTCCACACTTAGAATCCTCAAAAATCATGTACTGGAACCCTTGTAGTATCAATCTACGGATCAATAGTACGGTCCGTCAATGGCCACCGTGGTTCCACCCTTGGTCAGACTTCCCTGATTTGCCTTCTATGCCTTGCCTGTTGATCTATGGCCATCACCTACGTACCGTCAATGGACCTACGGTCCGTAGATCACTTCCGTGAATGCACTTTTTCTGCATATCTTTCAGCTGTCTCTTTACTTCCATGCCTGAACATCTTTCCTGCAAAATATGATAAAAACACATAAAAACCAATACACAAAGGCCCTAGACACACACAACTTGTACGTGAAATGTATTAGAAATACTGTAAACTCACGGTATATCAATTACACTCGCTGCCACATCGTCGCTACATCAGCGTCGTGTCATAATTATAAGCTGCAGGTACTTTCATTTCTTTGCCCACTTTATTTCTGGAAAAGTTGGTTGCAGAGCAGAGGCAAACCGGTTCCATATTAGACAAGGTAGTCCAGAGGGAAGTATTGGCTGCAGAGAAGCAACTGAAGGATGAAATGAGACAAGAACTTGTGGTGTTGAGGAACCGGATTGTCACGACCCAGGGGTACCCCCTAGATGTAACAAGATGTTCAAGATCCCGAGAGGCCTCATACAAGCCACTTAGCATATCATAACATAAAGTAGTAGAAAATGGTATGGAAATTTAAAACGTTTTTCCAATACAATCAAAGTCTTTTCTAAAATGAGCGAAAGTCTAATACAATTGTCTCAAACCATCTAATCAACATGAATAAATCTTGGGACACAGCCCATACAATAGTCCAACATAAAAGAAAGACATAAAGGAAAGTGGTGGGAATACTATGAGGACTCACCAAATCTTCACTCTTTGATCAACTATGAACCTAGCCACGAGTGTGGGAATCAATGTCGCCGGACCCTATATTTTGATAAGAAATGTAGGCAAGAGTATGCGTTAGTACAAACAAGTACTAAATATGATGACTAGCATAAGTCATCAACATAAGCATAACATAAACATTAGTCAACATAAGACATATACCATAATTATAAGAGATAACAACATAAGTCATAAGCACAATCAATGCACATAAATCATTATAATATAAGAGAAACACTTCTTTAGCAACTTCAATTTATCCTTAGTCAAGCTTTGGGTTATCACCTCTAGTCATACATATCAAGGAGGGCACTTCAAGCAACAATCCAAGCTAATCTATCATCACATACAATCCTCAACTTAAACATACTTACAAACTTCCTTGAAGTAAGATCAAGCATACTTAGCCAAGACATGGGTAATCCACCACTAGCATTACTCATCATAGTAGGCCACCTTAGGCCATCATCAAAGCTCATCATTCCTCATTCTTATCTTTAGCTTATCTTTTATAGACATGGGGAAATCACCTTCTTGCCTTCATAGCAAGGCTCATTGGTAGTCGCCTCTTGCCTTGCTTATCATATGACACTAGTATTCTCCTCCACATTTTTTCATTATAAGGGATCATGGGTACTTGCACCCATGTTCAACATTAGAGAATACGGGAGTAACCTCTTACTCTTCTCTAAAGAATATGGGACATCCCCTCATATCCTACTTATCTAGAGGTCATATGTGATCACCGCTTGCCTCATCAATTTTAGTCTTTAGTATAGATTCATTTTAGGTGAGCAAACCTTTCAACCTAGAATCATTCTATGTGAGAAAACCTTTCACGTTCATGCATTCATACATTCATAATATAGATCATGTGGGTAAATCCTTCCACAACAATCCTATCTACAATTCAACATTCATCATATAAGCTTTACTCTCAAATCCCTAATAATTATCATTCATCATACATGCCTTATTCTCAAGACAATTCTAATCTCAAAGCCTACAAGTCATAATTCATCATATATACTTGATCTCAATCAATTCATGCTTATATACTTTACTCTTAAGAAATTCACATCTATATGATTCAATCTCAAGCAATCTATAATGTAACTCATCAACCCTAGAAGAATACATCTAAATCCTCATTTTCCCCTTTCATGGCATAAAATCCATTTCCATCAATTTCATCTTTTTAGACATGGGTTAGGCATGGGTACATGTAAATTCATCCTAAAAATATGTAATTCCATCAATTCAATCATAAACAATCATAATCCACTCAATTGGATCAACACTCATCATAACCCACAACATTGGAAGAAACCCTAACTAGAATTGGGGAACTCTTCTTCACAATTGGGGAATTCTAGGGGACTCTATGGGAGGAAGGATCCCATGGATGAAAAGCCACCATACCTAGCTTGCACTCCCTTCTTCTCCTTCAACTTTCTATAGCTGGAATATTTGAGAGAGGAGTTTTGGGATTCCTTTAAGGTTTTGAATTATGATTTAAAATGAATGAATTTAGGGGTCTAAAGTACTTATATAGGTGGTCTAGGCTAGGGTAAAATGACACCGCTTTATTCTAATTAAATCCGGAAAGTCCCATTATCCCCCTAAACTAACTGTCTTAACCCACGAGACCACGTTGACGGGCTGTGAATGGACCTACGGTTCGTCCTGGTCAAGCGTGGTTTGGTTTAGAGACTTTGCTGGCCACCACGACACCCCTAATCATGAACCGTGGACCCATCCACATGAATGGGTCCTGGCGTGGTTTCTGCCTTAGGCAGTAGTGCTCTTCCATGAGTCCACCTACGGGGAGTGGACTCACCCACGAGTCGTGGTTGGTCCTTCTGAGGTGGTACCTTGAAGTTCTAACATTTTATGCCCTCTATCTCAAATTCGAACGGACATCCATGAAAATTTTTGGCAAAAATAAGATCGGAATTCTGGATCACCAAAAAGTCCATGGACTATAGCATACGAAAATCAACAAAGTATGGGGGGTTAGTGCTCCGAGGCTCATTTGACCTTGAAAATGGGTTGTTTTGGCCGTGAGGGCCAACTGGCTGCATAACTAAGGTCTTAATGGACGTCCATGAAAAATTTTGACAAAAATGAGGCAGGAATCCAGATCACCAAAAAGATGGTGAACTAGCACACGAAAATCGGCAAAATAGGGGATTTACCTGCTTTGAGGCTTGTTTGACTTTGAAAATAGGCCGTTTTGGCCGTGAGGATCAACTGGCTCCATAGCTAAGGTCTTAACGGATATCCATGAAATTTTTTGGCAAAAAAGATGGTGAAATATAGCACACGAAAATTGGCGAAATGGGGGGTTTACCTGCTCCGGGGATCATTTGACCTTGAAAATGGGCCG